CTATTAAGAGCACCCCTGCAGTATTTCATCTCCCTTTCAGATATGTAAACAGAGGACCCCAGATGATTTCCTAAATGCACACTATGGTACAGATAAGTTGCAAGAGATGATATACCCCATAGACTACCAAATTCATACTATTAGTTTGAGTACAAATGGTTGTTAAAATTCTGACAGGATGGCACTCATAAATAGTTCTTAAACAACTTTCCATCTTCACCTAGGCCAATTTCTTTAAAAACCAATTCCCCTTCCTGCCCACACCTTCAGGCAAATACTGTTCAAAACTGACCCCTGGAGACAGATACAGAATGTAAGCAACAGGCTGGCTATAATAGTAATGTTATACCTGCCCCCCCCCCCCCCCACTCCCTAGTGCAGCATGCAGTCATCCACTGCACTGGTTGTGTATGGGTCATCAGATCAGCTGTGTTCTGATCATCATGCTCACATGAGCCAAGCTCTAGACATAGAAGTTTCACTTCTTTTTCAATTTGAATGCTAAATTATTGAGGTCATGTTTGTCACTGTCTGTGCCTTTTAATTTCTTGAAACACAGGCTCTATATTTTAAATAGGGACGGTGGCAGTGTGCCAAACTTAATTTAAAGTGCATATGTATCTTAACTGTCGCCACAGTGTCACAACATTGCTGGACGTGTTTGGCACGAATATATGCCTTTTCAGTGTGGCTCACAACCAAGTTGTCTTTGAAGAATCCCCTGGAAAGCACCATCCCATGGAATATCCCATGAATCAGGCAATGCCACAAACACCTCATAAAAAGTGTGTCCTTGCATGCATGCAGCCATACAGCATTTGAATCTCATGATTTTGCAGTATTATGACTGGACTTGCACAGACCTCACATGACTTCGCGAGGCACGTATTGGTTACATTTTTCAACATCTTGTCTCATTTGCGCCATCACTGCATAACATCCCATAGTGCTGTGAACCTCGAAATAGCACGATGCGTGTTGAGCATGACTAGTAAAAAGTAAGTCATTTTTTTCTGGGAAGTAGTAATTTGACCCATGTTTTGCTCAGAATCTCCTTTTTTAACAGTTTTGAATAAAACATTTATCGTGATTCCATCGTTTGCCAAAACTTTACTTCTCTTTCCTCTGACCGGCGTTTCGACCTTCCTGAAGGTGACTGAGGAGGTGAAGGTAGGGTCTTCGTTCGGGTTGATTTTGGTGAGGGTTTTTTGGGTGCATTTCACTTTTCCAACGCTGTGCACACTCGTGGGAGCTTACAAGGAAACCACGTAATTGCTATGTTGTATGGACATGTCTTTAGAGAGATCGAGAGAGAGAGCTCCTTGTAGAGATCGGACTCTATACATTTTGCTGTAGGATTCAACTCGTGGCTCCGTAGTGGGCCGTCACTTGGAGAAGGCAGGAACCGAAGTGGTTATATGTGTGCGATCATCTGTCCTGATTTGTGTTCTGGCTTTTGTGAATGTTGTGTGACAGTGTGATTGGTATTTGATTGGGAACTTTGGCTCAGGGGCTTAGGTTGGGTAGGCAAAGGGTTGTATAGTAGCTGAAAAGCCCTTAGAATGAACTGAACATTTTGGTTGTGGAAGGTGAAAGGCTTTGTAACTGTTAAAAATGTAGGTAGTACTTTTCAAGTGCAAGTGGCATTTCAGAGAGGCCACTTTTGATATAAGATATGGTATAAGAGCCTTTGAAAGATAGTCAATTGTGGTCATTACATCCTGTTAACACCCTATCCTGTTGCTACTATCCTAATGCAAGTAGCAGCCTACCCCTATAAGTAGGTTGTCATCAGTTATACATGGGATAGAAGTGGGGTTGCACTTAAGAGTCCAAGATTAGAATTTCTAATTTTGGTTCCCATGGCCAGTCAGAACAACATAACTATCTGACTAGGCCTTGTTTGGGCATAGTTGGGTCAAGGAATTATATCAGGGTAGTTTTTTTGTTTTTTGGGAGAAAAGCAGCTCATGTTATTTGGGATCGGTACCTTTGGACCTGGCATGGGTTGGGAAAAGCCACAAAGTGCATTATAGTGCATCTAGAAATGTCCAGTTAAGGGGTCACATTTAGTTGAAAAATGGCTGGGCATGTAACCAAATATATTATATGAGTCTTGATTGTGCTATAGCACCTTAATTACTGGCATATTGTTTATTCAGTCCTGCATGTAACTGCTTGCATAAGCAATAGCCATAAGTTCACCTAGAAAATCCATGTACTACAGCAAGAAATTAGGTGCAAGCTTTGAGTATTTTGCTTATGTTGAACAGATAAATGAAAGAGCATACAGCTTGCAGCCTCATTTGTTTTTTGTTTTGTTTTTTTTTACTATCTTAGATGCTGCTTAACTGCATCAATAAATAAGTGTAAAGCAAAATGAGGTGGTCCAAACTTGGTGTGAGTTTTTGATACTTATTGAGCAAAAGAATGGGCCTATTGGTAGTAGGAATATAAAAGAATTGCAATGCCAGGTAAATGTAAGATTCCTCCCCTTGCACTCAGACTCCCAGTCACCAGGGTTTCAGCCCAGCTCCAAACAGAGAAGCTAGCTGACCCATTGGGGACAGGATTGGACCTGCCCCAAATATCTTGCTGGCTGGTCTGCCATCTTTAAAGACTGACTTGCAGTAGGGTGCAAAAATTCCAAGATTGGAAGACAATCCAGCCCAGCCTGACATCAAGAACTTTGCCTAGAAAACCTGTCAAGAGGGTTAGCAGAATGAAAGCACTGACCCACCATGTGTGGAGCCCCTCCCCCCATTAAGTTTGTCATGGAGCAACATGTTTTGGGAGGGGAAAAGGGGTTGGAGCTCCCATTATTTTCTGCCTCGACTTAACATCTAGAGGTTAGTTTGATAGCTGATTTGTTCTGCATGTTGCATCTTGTTTTTCCCCTTGTTTTTTTATGAAGGCATGTCCTTTAAAACCTGATATCATTGCTAGGTTTTTTGTTAGCATTAAACTAGAATAAATTAGGATTGTAGATAACTGACAGCAAGATGTATGATGGATTGCTGAAGGCACAGCACCATAATTGAGGCACATTCACTGAGATAAGAGGTTGTGGGTTAGATTCATAGCATGTGTTGATACCTACTGGTCCCTGTAAGCAAACTAGCATGCTCATCTCTGTATTTAACATGGATTATGTTGCTCCCTTCACTCCCAGAAGTTTTTCCTGCACCTTCATCATGGTTCAAACCTGTCTGCATCCAGCCTACCCAGCTGAAGACCAGGCTCCATCTTCCACCAACAGTTCCTGAACCAGTCAACAATGAGCATGTAGGCAGTGTTAAATGCTTGCTTTATTTGCAAAGCAGCTTACAGTGGTCAGTGTTTGTTACATTCAGAAGACAGTGAATGTAACAAATTGTTTTTGACTATGCTAAGTACATATGGAAACTGTACTTGATACAGTTGGGGGTGCAGTTTGAAAGTGTACATTATGACAAAGATTGTATTGCACAGAGAACAAATCTTGCTTAGCTTATTTTTTGGCAAACATCTAACAACAGGGCATACATTAGTTGTCAATCTTCTGCTCTCAACTTAGCTTGAAATTGCTCACTTTGCTCTATTCCACTGTTGTCATCAGCACAGTAACCAGTCGTAATTGCGATCACCACTGTCACAGTACTGACGCGTGTCAGGCGCCGCCGCTCCTTCGGCGCCGGTTTCCGCGCGCGCCGGCGCCGGCGGCGCGATCACCACGTGTACGACGGACACTGGCCGGCTGCAGTGCGGCCGCGTGCAGCTGTATACGCCGCTGTCGGCGACCGTGGCGTTCTCCAGCCGCAGTCGGCCGCAGGCAGGCCGGCGGTGTGGCCCGGGCGCGGCCGCGTCCGGCAGCGGGCCGCCCGTCCCGGCTCCAGGTGATGGATGGCCGGGCGGGCGCAGCTCAGCTCCAGCCGCTGGCCGGCGCGCAGCCGGCGGCTGGCGCTGCCGTCCAGCAGCGCCCGCCTCCGGCGCCACCACGGCCAGCCGCAGCCAGCTTGCGGCTGACGGACGCCCAGCCGTCTCGTACAGCGCGTGGCAGCGGTTACAGGCCGGCGTCGGCTGCCGTCACGCTGTCGATGATGAGCAGCCAGTGCGGCCAGGGCGCGCGCGCCGCCACAGACGGTAGCGCGCCACACCGTGTACCGGAACCGGTTTGACGGTGAACGCCAGTAGGAGGCGGCCGGCGTTCGTGCGCCCAGCTTATGGTGGCGCGTCGCGCGTCCAGCCGGCAGCGCAGCCGCGCGCGCTGAGCCCAGCTCTTGGCTGTGACGAGCTCGGCCGGCTGCCAGCGGTCGTCCAGCGACGGGCAGTCGGCGGCGGCGCAGGCGGCGAGCAGACACACGGCGAGCGCCGACCACACATCACATGGGGACCGCCCGGCCGCCACTGGAGCCGGCCGGGCCGGGCCGGGCCGCGGCCCGCGACGGTGACGGCCCGCAGTCTGGCGGCGCTCCCTGGCCGTTTATTTATACTCTGCACCACCACCACCCCCCCTTTCGTCATGCGGTCATGGGCGACAACGGCCGCCAGCCTTGTTGCCGCGGCCGGACGTGCCGGCGCCGGTCACGTGACCAGCCTTAATGACGGCGGCTGCGTCGTCACGGGTTACGCCCAGCCAAGACGGGCATGTGATTCCCGGTACTGGGCAATTGCGCTGGTTGCTGGCTTTCCAGGATAACTGGCAGTGGGCAACGGAATGGTCGGGAGAAAGAGACTATGACTACTAATGACTACATACTACCTAGCGGACTACATAGTGGATTGCTTGGTTTTGCAACGACGCTACTAACTTGTTTTCGTGTGGCGGCCAGTGCTAGGACACGTCTTCTAGGACTGATTTTAGAACGTTCGGTCCCCAGCCCAACGCCCAGACCAGACCCTCGGGGAGAGAGGAAGTCTGTCGCACTAGCTGACGACATGCGTCGTGGAATGGCGTGGTGCGCCTGATCGACATCTGTTTGCGTGTGTGTCCGCAGAACTCGTAATCGTCCGCCATGTCGAGATCGGAATCAACGGATCGGCCGTATCGGCCGTCTGGTGGTGCGGGCCGCCATCGATAAGGGAGCCGAGGTGAGCGCGCCCTCCGCTCGCGCGCACCCCTGACCCGACCCGGGCTTCGGGCGCTCGCGACCGCCGCGGGTGCCGCCTCCCGCGTCCACATCCCCTCACGGTGAAAACGAACGCAAGTGGTAGGGTTGGATTGATTTGTGCTGTCCATGTTTTCCGAGCGTCGATGATATCGTGCGCTCTGTTTCAGGTCGTGGCCATCAACGATCCGTTCATCTCGCTCGACTACATGGTGTACATGTTCAAGTATGACTCCACGCACGGCCGCTTCAAGGGCGACGTCAAGGCTGATGGAGAGTTCCTGGTCATCAACGGTGAGAATGGGGGCCCCTTCGTCCTCCTGTGGCTGGAACGCATCGGTAGATCGGAGTTGCGTGGTTTTCTGTGGAGTTTACATCTGCTCTATGCATTCCTGTCGATTTTTCTGCACAGCTCTTGTGGCATCGTCTCGCATTTCTCTGTCCTCCGTGTTCAGGGATGAAGATCACCGTCTTCAACGAGATGAAGCCGAACAACATTCCGTGGGCGAAGACGGGCGCCGAGTACGTGGTCGAGTCGACCGGCGTGTTCACCACCATCGAGAAGGCCAGCGCCCACTTTGAGGGCGGCGCCAAGAAGGTGGTCATCTCGGCACCGTCGGCCGACGCGCCCATGTTCGTGGTCGGCGTTAACCTAGACGCCTACAAGCCGGACATGAAGGTGGTCTCGAACGCCTCCTGCACCACCAACTGCCTGGCGCCGGTGGCAAAGGTGATCCACGACAACTTCACCATCGTCGAGGGTCTGATGACCACGGTGCACGCCACCACGGCCACCCAGAAGACGGTGGACGGACCTAGCGGCAAGAACTGGCGCGACGGCCGCGGCGCCGGCCAGAACATCATCCCGGCCTCGACCGGCGCCGCCAAGGCCGTCGGCAAGGTGATCCCCGAGCTGAACGGCAAGCTGACTGGCATGGCGTTCCGCGTGCCCACGCCGGACGTGTCGGTGGTGGACCTGACCTGCCGCCTGGGCAAGGATGCCCCCATGGACGACATCAAGGCCAAGATCAAGGAGGCTGCCGACGGCCCGATGAAGGGCATCCTCGGCTACACCGAGGACGAGGTGGTCTCCCAGGACTTCCTCAGCGACTCGCACTCGAGCGTGTTCGACGCCAAGGCCTGCATCCAGCTCAACACCAAGTTCGTCAAGCTCATCTCCTGGTAAGTGGGGTGATGGTTGAGTATTGGGCGATGCACTAGGTAGTGTGCAACTGATTTCAATGACTCCGTGTCATGCCTTTTGCCGTCATCATAGATTGACGGTGCAACGAGAGCATACCTATGATAGTAATACCATGAACTACATCCAGGTAAGCCGGCTTATCATGAAAGGTTTCGCTTTGATTTCGAGAGTTCAGCTGTGTGTCGTTGCCTGGTGTTTCCTGCGCCCCGAAGGGTACTTCCAATATCTG